GTCTTTGACCATACCTATTTGAATTCTTAACATCAATATTAAAATCTCTGCAGCCTATATATTATCATTTTTTTATTTTAATATTTAACAACATTAGAAAGTCACTGTGAGTCAGAAGCCTTACCTACGAACCCAGCTTTCCTCTAACCCTGAGCAACGGATTCTTTTTTCATTCTATTTGGGTAACGACAGAAAAGTCGTCACAATGTCTTTAAAACTGCATTTCCTTCATTCCCATTTGAGCTTTTCCCCGAAAATATGGGCTCAGTTAGCAATGAACAAGGAGAACATTTTCATCAAGATATTGCCACAATTTAGAGGCGTTACCAGGGAAGATGGGAACCTACTATGCTAGCCTATTACTGTTGGAGATTCATAAGAGATACCTCTCCATCTCAGTATAAGAGAAAAGCCAGTCAGACCAAAAAAACCTTGCCTTTCCAGTCAAAACACTAGTGAAGATAAGACCTAGGTACTTTAGTTTCCAGAAAAATTGTGATTTTTGACCTGCCATATTATCTAGAAACTGTGATGTGATGGAAAACTTTTATTTATATATTTATAATTATATATATTTATAATTTATATATACTTTTATTATATATAAGTTAATAGTAAGAAATAATAATTACATAGTAAGACCCCAGATAATTTAAAAATTTTGAAATTTGTTGAGTAGTGTTATTAACGATCTAATTGTTATTTCTTATTTAACATATGGATAGTATATAGTATGTAAAAAACGATAATAAACACTACTCCAAGACATAGGAAAGACTACAAAAAAAATCCTGAAGAAGCATGATACATTAAATACAAAACGTCGAAAAATTATTGTTTTAATTTAACCATAGCCACAACACCCAAGAAACAACTATATATAATAAAAAAAATATAATATAAGGCTAAACAATACTTAATCACTGTCAATTTATTCAAAACGTGTAAAAATATAATGTAGGTTAGTAAGTAGTAACTAATTAGTTACTATAAGTAGTTAACACTATAGTAACGAATTGCTAAAAGCGTTTAGACGAAAATTATAAACGCGCCCATTTACTGGGCTATTTTGTAGTAACCAAGTTGAGCGATAAAATTGCTTCTAAATTTCTTGGAAATTTTGTTGCTTGGAACGGACCATATATATTCAAGCAATTTGGTTGGCAAATTGCCCAAATCGAGAATTTCCGACATTCTCCTTTTCACGTACATAATAAAAATAGTTGAGCAATCTGGTTGCCGACGTCCACGATTGGGCGATCCTCGTACAACCTCTTTAAATTGCTGGCAATCGCAACCCGTTAAGTCTTTTTGAAAACGATTTGTGATTTAAATCTTTTTCCGAAATTTTGACTTAAGACTTTTTAAAAAAGACTTAAGTCATTAAAATATTCAAGCCTTTTTATAAAAGGCTTAAGTCAGGTTTATATATATTTTTATGATAAGTTTTTAACAGCCAGCATTTCTTTTTAAACTGCTAGGCGGCAGCCAAGCAAAAAAACAATGCTCAATACCACTAGTAAATAAAATGTTAGTTTTTTTCATAAGCGGTGTTACTCGTACGTAGTGAGTCTGTTGTCTTTCAAGTGAATTCCCGACTCCGTTATGTAGCACGAAAGACGAACAAAAGAGATTTATCTGGAATATATTAAAGAGTGGCCTTAAAATCCTCCAGCTCTTAGCTTATGCCATCGATATATTACTCGTACATAGTGATCAAAACACCACCACTTTTTAGTAGACATGTTTTCGATGACATCTATCTGTAATGGATACATATAAAGCAGCGTTTTTTAAGGGCAAGGGGGCCGCCGTCTTATCTATGAACATTTGAATTAATAACTAAATGTCAACTTTAAATGTTCAGCTTCAATGTTCAGCTTTAAAACATAATTTCAAAGAAACTTCTTTATCAAATTTTTGGGTGAATTTAAAAAAAGTTTATAAAGAAATATCAGAAGAAGCACTGAAACATTTACAATTTTTCTCATCCTCATACCTCTGTGAAAATGCATTCTCTACTCTTGTATACATCAAAAACAAATACAAAAACAGATTACAATTGGAATCCGATTTGAGATTACAACCAGAGTACGTAGATCGCCGAGTAACGACAGAAACCGTCGGCTCTTTTGATGTGGTGGGACCAAATTTTCTTTCTCTCTCTTTTGACGTGTTTGACAGATGGACTACGTATTTAACTGCTCAACTTATGAAGTGGTCCTATAAACATGGTATACACTGCTCACAATTTGAAGTGGAATTAATTATAAAGTTTTATACATATCTTTTTTGTTTTGTTTTATCCTTATTTCTAAATTTGAATGTATAAAATATCTTACTGCTAATAAATAATTAAAAAATACGATTCGTTGCCTGGGGTATACTTGAAATAAAGTATATGGAGATATTTGATAAATGGCAACAGTGGCAACTTCGCTTCTTCGTATGACAGATAACCTACTTATTTCGCGCAGCCGCAAAGAAAATTGAAAACGGGACTGTCGCTACTCGTCGGTTTAGGTACTCTCACAGAATATACTAACGAAAAAGAAGCCCAAGTTCCTTGTAATAAATCGGTTCCATTTTCGTAACGCCATCTCTCGACATAGCTGACATTATAGTTTAGCCAAAGGGGTGCGGGGCCGGGGGGAATTGTAAAATACACTTTTTTATTTTAATTATTTTTATTCGCTATTTGCAATTTTATTTTTAAAACATATTATGTGAAACAATCACATAATATGTCTTAAAAAATAAAATTACAAACAAAACAAAAGGAATTAAATAATCTGAAAATCTACAAAGTTTATTGATAAAAAGTTAGGCTATGCAAATTGATAAGTATATTAAGTATAACCTCTTTGGTATAACATTGTTAAACAAACATTAACAAATCATAACATAGAAACAATCATAGAACTAAAAAAGTACTATTACATATAAAAACAGGTGATACAATACTTCAAAATTAATTTTAACATAATATCAAAACCAAAAATCAAACTGCAAACACAACCACACTTATCACAACAGAAATTAACACACACTTCCGCGGCAAATGTCCAAGAAAGACTGATCATTCTGATTGGTCCTGGTCCGGTCGTAGCTCACGTCGTATTGTCGGTAAGCAAAATCCCTGTCCAAAAATTTGACGATCAGCGCCATCATCCGTCATAATTGGGAAACTTTTGCTGGAACCATTTTTAATATTTCACTTACATGGCCCTGGGTACTCTGTTACAACTAAGTAAAAACATCAACCCGAATATTACTAATTTAGTTGCAAGAAAGCAACACCTACCTTCACATTAATACAGTATTTTTAATTTTTATAAAAATGTAATTTTCTTGTACTAAAATAGTTTGTCCTAAAATTTCTGTTTTTTTTTAATTAGGGGGGTCGAAATTGTGCTTGATTTTTTAGGGGTCCGCGAATTGAAAAAGGTTAAGACACGCTGATGTAGAGTAATACCACAGATCATACAGATTATAAACTTTGTTTTTTCTTTATAGTTTTTCGTGGTTCCAATTTTCGGAATCGGGTACTAGTTAGGTTACTAGTTTGCGCACATAGCACGCCCACTTATGGCCTCTAAAATTGTGCACAGCGCTTGACCGGCACAGTTATTAGAGAGATATCGGAAAACCGAATAGCGTCATGCAGTATTTACGCGTACCTTTATCATGGTTACGATATGCGCGGGTCAATTTTTAACGCAACACCCGCTAATAACGTTACCGCCTGACGTAATTTGCGGATCATTTACACCAAGCGCTATTTCTAAATAACGTTTAAAAATTGCTTAAATGAGCATGTGCGGGTATTTGACAACCGGGGCCGGCCGGCGAGATATTATTTTATGGGCGAGACCTTTTATTTTAGGTTATGTTTGAATTGTTTTGAATTATTACTTTAGTTTTATTAGGTAATTTGATATTTAAGTAACTGGGATTAGTTTTAATTAAATAAATATGGCCGAAAATATGGATTCCACCTCTTCCAATATTAAAGAACCTATAAAGATGCTTAGGTTTACAGCAGATGACGACTTAGCCCTTCTAAGAGAATTTGTTGCTTGTTGCCCTAAACCCACTGGCAGACGTTAAACAATAAAGCACTGGAAATAAGCACTTTAAGCCTTTAGTTTTAAAATACCTAGTAAACAAAACAATTTCAAAGTTTTAAATTCAAAGTTAGGTTAAGTTTAAATAGCGGACGCGACGCGAACAGAATTCTTTCCGATCCGATAACTATAAATGAAGGGAGTTAATACCACCTCACGTAAAGGAAATACCACCTGGTCTTATTAACGTCCATGCACGCTATTCGGTTTAGCGATATCTCTCTATTACGCTGTTTATTGTTATTTTACGGGAGTTTATTTTTGCGCACAGGAAATTTGACTCGTTTGCACATCGTTATAAAAAACAAATTTTGTACCACGAATTAGGGACAAGATTTTTATCTGTATACTTATAGGATACCTAATCTGTGGTACTACAAAATCGGTTAAATTTTATAAAAAAAAACATATTTTTGTACATATTTGTAGTTGTTCTGAAAATTAACCGTGTTTTTTGTGGTGTTAGTCTCAACTGTATCTACAATAAATTAATAATATACTTAGTAAGAAAATCGCCTAATTGGTAATACAAGAAACTTAATAGTAACATTAAAAAAAGGTACTTAAATTGAATTCTGGTTGTCTTGACTTGAGGGTAATTATATTGATTTAAGTCATTTTACTCACTTAACATGGGGATCATCATGATTTAAGTCAAAAATGACGAGACTTAAGTCATAAAAACGATTTAAATAACATTATATTGATTTAAGCCTTTACAAAAATGACTTAAGTCGAAGACTTAAATCATTTAAACTTTATCTTGAATTTGACTTACGACTTAAATTACTTCGATTTTAGAAATGACTTTTAAGACTAAAGTCTTTTTAAAACTTGTTGCAGCTTTGTCTAGACCTATGTATTTTTTTTAAGATTTAAATCAAGTAAATTTAATTGTATTTGATGAATGTCATCGAGGCGTAAGCGACCAACCAATGAGACAGTTGTGTAAATCGTTTAAAGATTTAAGAGATCCGCCAAGAGTTCTGGGTTTAACAGCCACTCTACTAAATGGAAACTGTAAACCCAGTCGTGTTATGGAAGAGGTTAAAGAACTAGAGGTAACATATCATAGTAAAGTTGCAACAGTTGATGGATTAAGTGATGTAAGCGGGTAAGTTATCAACCCACTTGTTTATGCGCCAATATACAGAGTGGTCCAAACTGTATTTCGAAAACTTCGGCAGCATATTCTGCACATAAAAATAAGTAAAAAAGTTTGTATAAACGTATGTCCTAAAATGCTTCGTTTCGGAGATACAGAGTGTTGAAATTTAATTTTTATTTTAATTTTTTCCTAATAATTCCTGAACTAAATTCGGTATTGGTATGAAACTGAAGTAAAATCTGGGAGTTTTTTACCATGATAAATTTGATTTCGATGTCGTTATGACTCCTTCATCCTTTTTTACTGTTTTGAAGAGTAATAACTTTTCGTCCGTCCCTGTATTACACTACTGACTGAAAAAATATACATTTGTACCTTTTTCTACGTAAAATTGTGTTTTGGTAAAAATCGCTGCGAGCAACTGTTCTCGAGATATTTGCATTCTTAATAATCAATACATGTAAGTATGTAAGTATGTACCGGGTGGCCAACTAAGAATGGACGCCCGCTGTATCTCAGAAACTACTTATCGTATAACTTTGGGTAAAAAGTTCTAATAAGTAAATCGACCAAGGAAAATCGCTGGAAATTATTTTCAAGTTCAAAAAATGTCCGCTAGGGGGCGTTTCTCTGATAACCTAATCAGAAAACAGGGTTTTTCTCAAAAATATGCAGGTGAACAGATATTTTAAATATTACTATTGTAATCATTGAGAAATTTGTAATTTTTTTGATATAGAGCATTTTTCTCTATCTCATAAAATAAAGTGGTGGGGGAAGGTTAAACTTGCTTTTATTTAAGTACGGATAACTCTGGTTTGGGGTTACCCGATTTAAACAAACTAGGGCTCGTTTAAAAGAGATTTTCTTCCTCAATGATCCCCAGTATAAATTTCGTTTCCATAATTTTTTCGTGGTAGCTAGAGGGTTGTTTGACATCATAACAGATATTGCGCTTTTGCATAAAAAGAAATAAATAGTAGGTTATGTTTCTTTTTACACAGTTAAATAGAGCACAACATTTCCAAAATATCAGCGGAAACCGCAACTTTCATCGAGAACAAATCATGTTAGGCTGCCGCTTAAGTGCCGCTGGATGATAAAGTTACATAAACACATTTAAATATTTATGACTTCATTTTTTTTAAGAAAACGCCCGAAATTCTGATGCATGAAAACTGAACTTAAACGTTTTGATATTTTGACGTAACAAAATTACCTCTTTTTGTTTCCTAGCCTACTACTATAATTTTTAGACCATATAATCCTAAGCGGCAGTCTAAGATGATTTGTTCTCTTAATATCCCCAGTTAGAGAGAAGATAGAAAGTTGCGGTTTGCGCTGATATTTTGGAAATTTTGTGTGTCTCTATTTAACTGTGTAAAAAGAAACATAACCTACTATTTAATTTTTTTATGCAAAAGCGCAATATCTGTTATGATGTCAAACAGCGCCCTCTAGCTACCACGAAAAAAAAAATGGAAACGAAATTTATACTGGAGATCATTGAAGAACAAAAGCTCTTTTAAACGAGCCCTAGTTTGTTTAAATCGGGTAACCTAAACCAGAGTTATCCTTATTTTAATAAAAGCAAATTTAACCTTCCCCCACCACTTTATTTTATGAGATAGAGCAAAATACTCTATGTCAAACAAATTACAAATTTCGCGATGATTACAATATTAATATTTAAAATACTTGTTCACCTGCATATTTTTGAGAAATCCCCTGTTTTCTGATTGGCTACCAGAGAAACGCCCCCTAGGGAACATTTTTTGAACTTGAAAATAATTTCCAGCGATTTCTATTGGTCGATTTACTTATTAGAATTTTTTTCCCAATAGTACGAGAGCTATACTTGTATTCATTTAAAACTTCCCAATATGGCGGACTTCAGTATGGGAGGCTCAAAAAACGAAAATATCTAGACTGGAATCGACTGTAGTTCAAATCGTTCAAATTGAAAATCTGTAGTAAATCTAATCGAACTCTGACACTTGGCTGAGAGTGACGTTTACGATCCCTTTTTCTAAATATTTTCATTACTTTTTGAGTTTCTATTCACAGATTCTACTTGATTTTGTTCTTTTATTTAACCTGCAGTACTAATTATATAGTTATCTATAACCTTTTTACTGATCAAGAGCTAAGGAATAGCCTGGAAGATATTCAAAATGTGTAAAACGCTTATTATAAATCTATTAGAAATTGACTCGTCCACAAATTCGTGAAAATAAATTAATCCAGATGTTTGTAAAAAGGTCTCTAATTATTTTGAGAAGTTTCTTCGAATCAGTAATTTTCAGGTTTGTACCTAATATGTATAATATGATAATAAATAGATATAGGTGCCCGGTGGCGTAGAGGTACAGGCTCTCGTCTACCAATCTGAAGGTAGTGGGTTCGATTCCCACACCTGGCATTTCATCAGCCGGCTATTTTTATTAAAATAAAATTAGTTTGGGTACCTAGGTCGACTGAGCCTTAAATGAGTACTTGGGATTCACAATCCTGAGGTAATAATAGGCGGTTGAAGCGTAGTGCTAGCCACATTACCTTCCTTGTATACCGAACAGCTCTAGTATGGCAAGCTGTACCTTGCTACTCCCAAGGCGTTAAACGCTATATACGGGAGCTATTATTATTATTATTATAAATAGATTAAAACTTATATTTCAGGAAACAGGGCGGGCATTAAAGATTGTTGTAAATCAGTTTTAAAATATAAAGAAGGTTTAAAAGTTGAGTTAGTAGAGAAGACCTCAAGAAGGTAATGTTGGTATAGGACCAAAGATCAAATAACACTTGAAATATATAATATGTACAATAAGTGTAAGTAGTTTTTATGAATCTGTTTGATATCTATTATCTATTGCATTGCTTTTGTATTTTTTGAAACATATATTTTTTTACTTTACAGGATACACAAAGAATAATAGGAAATACAGTTACACTACTCACTAAAAGCACTTAAGGTTTGTAATAGATGTAGTTAGAATATCAAACACCAAACCAAACATTATGTTTTAATTTACCGGTATTCCTCACATTTGAAAGGAAAGCCACTTCATAAATAAACAGAAGGATATCGTATAAATAGTATATAAAATTTAGTACTGATTCCAAACCTATAGTTGTGGTTGTGACATATTCTGATGTGTTTCTGGCAATTTAAAATAAGTTAATATTTAAACAAACATTTCTGGCTTTCCTGACAGAAGTGTGAAGACAAATTTAATAAAGGTATAATGTGGATAATGTTCTGATTATTACAGTTTGCATGGATGACTATTTTTGTATGTTATTATTTTTAATAAAGTGTATTTAATGAGTTTTTGAATATTTCATTTTTTCCTCAGAGGATTGTGTTCTAATCTTTATATATAAATTTTCGAAAATTATATCTACAAAATTTATTATCTTATAACTTTTTGCTAAAGACTTTGTAGATGATACAGTTTAACAGTATATAAAAGAACTATCTCAATAAGATTTTAAAAATATATAGCTGTTTTTGCACACATATCAATTAAATTTGTGATTAACTGTACTGAAATAAAAACATAAATTAAGAGAAATGGGGTTATCTATCAACTATAACATGAAAACCTTATATATATATATATATATATATATATATATATATATATATATATATATATATATATATATATATATATATATATATATATATATATATAATATATATATATATAATATATATATATATATATATATACTATATATATATATATATATATATATATATATATAATACTATTACTCTAACGGTATTTCGCGGTATTTTTCAGACTTCAAACTTTAAACTTGTCCAACTGTCAAAGCGCGGGCCTTATATACCCCCTGGCGGTTGTTTCTAGATTTTTCTAAAGAATTCTATAATTTTCTTTACTTTCTGGCGAATGCGCCAGGTTCCTCAATGCACGATTTTTTTTTGCAGTATGCAGTTATGCAACCAGTAATACACCTTGACATTGCCCCCTTCTCAAATTTGATCGTCCCGATCAAGGTTTCCTGTCTGGTATCTCTTCAATCGATCCAGATGAACTACTTTCATCTTACTTCTAGGGCTGCGTTGAATCCGATACACAACATCATTTATCCTCTTGATGACTGTATAAGGACCTTCCCAGCTGGAGTTAACTTTGGGGACCTCCCTTTCTTGCGCTGTGGGTTATATAACCATACCATATCGTCCTGTTGAAATCCCGTAGAATTGGCTCTGAGGTCGTAACGAGCTTTCATCCGGTCACTGGCTAGCGTAATCTTACTTCTTACGGCCTTATGAATTTCCATTAACCTTTCCTTCAGTTCATCCGCGTAGTCCTCTACATTTGTGGTGCCGTCGTCTGGTGATCCGAACACCAAGTCACAAGGCAACCGTAATTCTCGACCAAATAAAATCTTCGATGGTGAAAGTCCGGTGGTGTTGTGAACTGCACTTCTATACGCCATTAGGAACAGCGGTATGTGTTGATCCCAATCTCTTTGATGTTCGGCCACCATTTTCGAGAGGTGTTCTTCAATGGTCTTATTGAATCTTTCGACCATCCCATCAGACTGCGGATGTAAAGCTGTTGTCCTAGTCTTGTGAATACCAAGCAGATCACACATCTTCTGGAACAGTCTTGACTCGAAGTTCCTTCCTTGGTCAGTGTGAAGCTCTAAGGGAATTCCAAATCTACTGAAGACATTATTGACTAATACTTCAGCTACAGTCGATGCTTCTTGGTTTGGAATGGCAAAAACTTCTGGCCATTTACTGAAATAATCCATCGCCACTAAAACGTACTTGTTGCCCTTGTGCGTTTCAGGGAATGGGCCTGCAATGTCAACAGCGATTCTTTCGAATGGCAGTCCAACGTTATATTGTTTCATTTTTCCCCTAGATCGAGTGCTTGGTCCTTGGCTGGCTGCACAAATTTTACATTGTCGACACCATTTCTTGACATCTTCGCAATAATCCACCCAGTAAAAGCGATCTC